CTGCCCCAAGCCTGCTCTCTGCTCTCAACCGCACTGGCACGGAAGATGCGGATGACGCTGAGAGAGCACGGCAATGGAAGAGTGTCCAGGCAGAGAGGAAGAAGTTCGTTTCTTTTTCAGTTCCAGCAGCTTGGACAAAGGATGCCATCCTTGCAGCCTTCCGTGGCTCGGGGAAGGTGTACAGTCACAAAGGCAGCCTGAACAGCGCGCATCGGCTCATCTGCGCTGCAGCCGATCTTGTCAACGAAGACAACGCAGAGCCCTGGAGCACTGCCTGCGCACCCACAAAGACCATGTGGGAGGCGGTTTCCGGCTTCTGTAGCGGAGTCAGCGGGTCGGAAGACTTCATCATGATCTTTGACGGTCGCATGCGTGAGGTCAGGCGCTTGAACGACCCTTCGCTGAACGTCTGTGTGTGTGTGTGTGTGCATGTGTGTGTATACAGGTCAGGCATGGGAAGCCGCATAGTCTCAGGTTCGCTCTGATGCTGTAGAGTGGGAGGGCACACTTCGACGGAACCAACCAAGGAGAACCACTGGGAGAAGGTCCAGCACGCTGAGGAAGCCACGATCATTTACTCGGGAGGTTGTCCTCCCAGGGCTGGTCGCACACGCCGTGTGCCTTGCGGTGCCAGGAAGTTGGAGTCCATCACCATCCGCTTCCCGGTTCAGAGGGCCAAGATTCGCGCTGAGAAGAAAGAAGCCTTTACTGCATGCGGTGAGGCATCGACCTACCAGGGCACCTACTCCGGTGTCAGCTTTCGCCCCACGGCAGAGATTCCTTTGATCTCAAAGGATGAGAAGGCAAAGGTCCTGGAGCTGCAGCAGGCCGTTCCAGATGCACCTGAGCTCTGGCAGGATGTGCATGGTAGCGACGTCCCGCTCTTCTGGCAGGAGTCAAAGCCCATTGCTTTTTACACGGCCGTGCTGAGGGAGTACAAGATCCAGGCTGTCTTCGACGTCACCGCGGGCACTGGTGCCTTGATGGAGGCTTGCCTGGGAGCAGGTGTGCTCTACCATGGACTTTGTCCTGACCTTACTTGACTCGTCTTGAGCTCCATGCGTGCTGTGTGNNGTGAGCTGCAGGTCTCAACCGCGATCACATGTCCTGGGTACAAGCAGTTGCCGACAGGGCTGCTTGTGGCCTCATCGCAGTTGAAGGGTCAACCCTCTTCTCCGAGGAGGGTGCCAAAGGTGTGCGCAAACACTTCAAGAACATCTTGGAGTCCCTGGTCCCCACGGGACAGGATGATCAGGAGGAGGAGCTTGAGCCAGCCAGTCCGAGTCAGGGGTAGAGCGCACCGCCTGGCATGCTGGACCAGTGGACGTCAGACCGATAGTCTTAGCAGCTGCAACAAGGCCAGACGTACATTTTTTTTCAAGGTCCCCAGGTCCCCAGGTCCACAGGTCCAAGCTCTCCAGGTCCCCAGAAGCCCCGTGGCCAGCGATATGCTGCAACGGCTAGGATGTGCGACAGTTTTTCTGCTGCCAAGCAAAATAGCGCGAGACCTGCCTCTTGCATGCCTTTGTTGTTGAGTGTGAGCCTTGCCAAGCCTTGTCTTGAATGCGACTTTGTTTCAAGCTCACAGAAGGGCAGCAAGGCAGCTTGAGTCCCCAGGTCCCCAGGTCTCCAGGTGTTCACGACGTATGAAGGGCATGCCTGCATGCACATCTGCGCCCACGCATCGGCTTTTTCGCAAGACGAGCATAAAGGCTGCAAGGCGCTGCAAGACGAAAGGGCGCCGGACCCAAGCAGCCAAGGCGCGAGCTGCGGCAGTGAAGGCAGGACTTGCTCCTCCTGCACGCCGTGCGTTCCCCCTTTTTGTGAAGGAGAACAACAGAATCGAGAAAGGTGGCTCCAAAACGGCTTTTCAGAACGAGCTCAAGCGCCTTGGCAAAGTTTGGTCCCGGCTGCCAGCTGCAAGCAAGCAGCCCTACTAT